TTTGGCAAACCATCTTCTCTCTCCAGGTTTTAGTCTTCTCATCAATAAAACAAAAGAATTAGTTAAGATAATATTTAAGATCCTTTTCAGCTCTAAGGGTCCACATTCTAAAAGAATATAGAGTGGCAGTAATAGTCACTGAACTTACCATGTGCCAGAAATCTTGCTAAGCGCCATTTACGTAAGATATGATTTTGTATGGAATGGCAATACAGGGAACACTGCATTACTGTCTTTTTTTTTTTTTTTTCATTTTTTAAACTGGAAAGAGGATAGATGGTTGAATTATATCCCTTTTTACGATTATGCCCTATTTCCAAGAAAAATCCATAGTGACTTACTGCAAAAATACATAAAGACTCAGCCTTAATGGAGGATAGAGATCACATTAAGTAATAAATATGGAAAAAGTAAACCAAAGTTTGTTGTTGTTGTTGTTGTTGTTTTAAATTATAGGCCATGTTGGAAAGTCATGATGACTGAACTAAAAACCCTAATTCTAAACCTCCTGATAGCAAAAGCAAAGAGGAAAATGAAAGTGGTCATGTAGCCTTTTGAAAAGACACACCTCAACAGAGAAAGTTTTTCTAGGCTGAGCTTTTGGAAGAATCTGCAACCAGGTTTTTTGTTTGATTCTAGTGAGGAAGAAAGGAATGAGGAGTGAAGGGAAATAAATGTGAACAAACAAACCAGTTTCTCAATATATCAAATAAAAGTTTAACTTTACAATGATGTATCTTATGGTTCAAGTTCACTTTTTTCAATTAACATATATTTTGTGATTAACTTAGGAATGATCTTGGATTAACTATTACTCTATCTGCCTACTTGAGAGACGTTTCATTTTCAATAGGACTGTACAATTTTAGGAATAGTGCTTTAAAGCCCTCTTTGCTTTGAATTTTTCATATAAAGAGAGACTGGGTTGTTCGCAAGACTCATAGCCAGAGTCGATTAATGGATTCCTTCCAAAATAACCATCCTATCAGGCCTACTCATTCTTACCTCTATGCCTTTGGGCTTAAGAAAGAAACATTTATGAAGTAGATAAGTAAAACAAATGCAGATTGATTTTATTTAAATACAGTTGTAACAACTTCCAAAGCTTTTACATATGACCTCTCTTGAGGAAAAGAACTTACGGAGAAAACCTATTCTTTTGTTGTTGCTTAACACATGGAAAAAAATGCATTTGAAATATCTAAAAACTATTAAAAATGCTAATACTTTTTTTAATGTGGAAAAATATATATAACATAAAAGCCATCATTTTAATCATTTGAAGTTTACAGTCACATTGTTGTGCAACCATCACCATACTAATTATTTTTTTTATTCTTATGTTAATCCCCATACATTACATCATTAGTTTTAGATGAAGTGTTCCATGATTCATTGTTTGTGCATAACACCCAGTGCTCCATGCAGAACATGCCCTCCTCAATACCCACCACCAGGCTAACCCATCCTCCCACCCCCCTCCCCTCCAGAACCCTTTTGTTTTTCAGAGTCCATCGTCTCTCATGGTTCGTCATATTAATTATTTTTTAATATATCCATAAGCTACATCCCATTGTGTTAGAGTAGGCAGTTAGTCAGGCTTTAACAGGCCAGCCAAGGTGTGTGTGTGTGTGTGTGTGTGTGTGTGTGTGTGTGTGTGTGAGAGAGAGAGATGGCTCACTACTGCTCTCAGGGAAAGTTAGAGACCCATCCTGGCAGGCTCCAAAAACAAAGCCATAGAAGCCAGATCAAACCAGATGGACCCAAGAAAAGAAGGCCAGAGATCCTGACCAAGTAAAGAGAAAAGGTATGAAACACTGCTCCCAAGAAATCCCCTCCCCAAGGAATAAGTATTCCACCCTGTAGTGAACAACTGTCAATGAAAGGCAGAAACCCAACCCCAGGGTGCGCTCTCCTTGAGCTTGCCTGCTCTCATATCTCAACAGTGGACTCTCATTTTCATAAACTTTCCTACTTGCACACTCAACTGTTGTGTCTGGTCTATCCTTGAATTCTTTCTTGCAAGGAGACCAAGAGCCTTTAGCAACATCTTTGGGATGGGATGGGTCAAGGCCTTAGGGCCTCAGAGAGTCTCCCCAATTCACCTGGCAACAATTTCAGCATTAACAAGTCCATATTGGAGGCACCTGGATGGCTCAGATGGTTGAGCATCTGCCTTCGGCTCAGGTCATGATCTCCAGGTCCTGGGATTGAGCCCTGTGTCGGGCTCCCGGCTCAGCGGGGAGTCTGCTTCTCCCTCTCCCTCTGCCTCTCCCTCTGCTTGTGCTATCTCTCTCTCTCTCAAATAAATAATCAAATCTTTAAAACAACAACAACAGGGCGCCTGGGTGGCTCAGTCGTTAAGCGTCTGCCTTCGGCTCAGGTCATGATCCCAGGGTCCTGGGATCGAGTCCCACATCGGGCTCCCTGCTCGGCGGGAAGCCTGCTTCTCCCTTTCCCACTCTCCCTGCTTGTGTTCCCTCTCTCACTGTCTCTCTCTCTGTTAAAAAATAAATTTTAAAAAAATCTTAAAAAAAAAAATAAAACAACAAAAACAAGTCCATATTGTTTTTCTAAGTATTCTTTGGAACTGAAATTTAAATATTTTCTTATCTAAGGAAAAAACCTGTTGACTACATAAGAGAGGCAATTCACAGTATTACCATAATCGATTTTCCAACCTAAGGTTTCCATGACATCAGCAAACTATGTCCTAAAAAGATATGCCTACCAACCAAATCCAATGAATTGTTCTAATAACTGTACTAATAACTGAACTCAGTCCACAACCTTGGATATTTGGAAAAAATGAATGCTGAAATGTGTAAGACAAATTGCAAACACTCATTAATAGTAAAATGTTATGTGACTCTTCTCCTATAAAGTAGTCCCATTGTGGCTCAATGATACAGAGTAAGGGCAAGAGTGGGCCAAGGAGCAGGAAAAGAAGATGTATTACAGAGATTCCAGAACCACACATAATTAAAAGCAAACCCCAGGGCACCTGGGTGGCACAGTCGGTTGGGCATCCAACTCTTGGTTTTGGCTTGGGTCGTGATCTCAAGATCATGGAATTAAGCCCTGCATCAGGCTCTGTGCTCAGCACAGAGTCTGCTTGTGATTCTCTCTCCCTCTCCCTCTGTCCCTCCTGCTCGTGCTCTCTCTCTCTCTTAAATAAATAAATCTTTTTTAAAAATTTAAATTTAAATTTAAAAAAGCAAACCCCTCCGTAAGGGCTTTATGTTTTACCCTTTAAAAAGAATTTTCTAAGTTCCTTGCTAGGCATTTCTAAGTAACAACATATTAACCTGCTACCTCCTTTATAAGAACGAATTTGTAAGAGTAGAGATTGGAATTGGTGATAACTAATTGAGGCAATTTGGCCTCGGCATCATATTTGGATTTTAATAAATAGTTCTCTTTTTTCCAAGTCATTTCAAATTATGAGATATTAATTAATCACAGACTGCCTAAAAGCAACATTTATTTGCTTTAGGGAGTATTTCTTGTGACTTCATTGGAATTAATGATATGATCTTTTTCTCTTGTCAGTAGATCTCTCTCGTAATCATTAAAATATGCCTGCTATAAATGGGGGGAGCTCCATATATACAATCAGCAGCTGAAAAATTCTTAGTCAAGCAATCTTGAATTTTTTAACTTTAGAGGGCATCTTCAGTTCAAGTTCATATGCACAACGTTGAGTTTCATCTTTACCATAAATGGAAAGTATGCTGGCTTACATCTTACTTATTGGGTTCTGATTACATCAATCAAACCTAAGTGGCTACAATACAGTGACCACTAAACAAATGTCAAATGAATGAATAAATACTCCAGGAAAGAGCCTTCCTGGAAGAAGGAGTTACCATTACCTAGAGAAGGGGAGGCATTTAAGGGAAGGTGGGCGGTTAGTGAATGTTACTCTCAGAAATAACAGGACAATCAGACTGTTCCAAAAGAACACATACAAAAAAGATTCAGATATAAAAACGACATCAGGGATCACAATAGTTCGTACTTTATAACATTCTTAAGTTGGAAGCTTTTGGGGGTCACATTTATTAGTGATTAGCAATAAAAAGCCTCAAAATAAAAGAATAAAATAAGTAGGTGTATGTCTATAGGGGCAGCAAAAAAGAGAGATCTACCTTATGGGACTGCTGGGAAGGAGGAAAGGAACCCCAGATATAAGATAAGGGTGAGTAATGCCAGCTTTTACCAGAAACAGACAACACAATGGCATAAGATGATGTTTTTTCATTTTATATTAAAACAAAGAGCATGGCACATAGTAGCTGTTCACAGAATGTCTGCTGAATAAATGATTCCTTCCTACCATCCCTCCTCCACTTCTTCTTCCCTTCCTCCTATTTATGTATCCCTCTTCCCCTCTTCCTTCCTTCCTTCCCTCTCTCCTCCTCTTTTTCCTTCCATCCTTCCTCCTTCTTTCCTTTTTCCTTGCACCTAGTCCCTTCATTATTCCCTCCATCATCCAACATCCATCCATTTCCTCTCCCTCCTTTCCTCCCCACAGCCTGCAAAGTCTAAAGGATCAAGAGATTCCTTGACAAGGGTCTTAAAAACCTTTCAGTTTGCCCTCCTGAAACCTATTCAAGATATATTTTAGTTCTAGGCATTGAAAATAAAATGACTCTGGCCTCACTTCCTACCAAGAGAAAAAAGTCCACAGAGAGAATGGATGGATATTGTTTGCAGAAGCTGTCTTTGTGGTTCCCTCCAAGGATAAAAAGGTCACACTTCGCAGCACAGAAATTAGCATAATCCTACCCTGAGGACGCCCAGAAATAGGTAAAAATCACTTTTAGATCAGCCCTTTGTTCCTAACGGATATTTGAAAACCAATTCCCACATCGTTCCCCCTTTCCCACCTCCCCGAAAAGTGGCTACAACAAACACTTTTGCTCCCCACCCGAGTCCCTTTAGTCTCATACTCCAAAACGAAAGAATTGCAACTAAATTCAGTATCAGTCTCTTACCCTGCCAGGAAAGCTAAGGAGTAGGAGTTGTTCTTAGAAACAAATGCCGAGCGATGGGTCTGTGTCATCTTGCCTCGGGAAGGTTCTTCATTCTCTGAATCTGAGAGGCGCGCAGGACACTGGCAGGAGACAAGGGAGACAACACTGTCTATTTGGTGTGCCCATGGACTCTCCCAAAGTTATTGTTTCACAGCTATTGTACGTCCTGTCTCTCAGGGAGCACCCATGTTTCCAACTGCCTCTTGGAGGTCCTGATCTGGGTATCCCAAATGTAGCTCAAACTTAATATATCCAAAATTCAATTCACTCTTTTCTTCTCTAAGCCCCACTACCAACCCAGCTAGAAGCCTCGATGTCTTCTCTGACTCTCTCCTTTCCCTTTCTTCAGAGTCATGGAAGTTCTGAATACACCCAATACTTCTCGATATTTTATTTCATTTGCACCCTATTAAGAAAGGATGACCTGTCTTCTCCCGGTGGCAAACTGAGGCTCAGAATAGTTAATGTGCCTAAGACTGTAGAGTTAATAAGTAGCTAACACTAGGACTTCAATCCAGAGTGTCCATCTCCAAGCTGCCTCCATGCCTGTTCCACTCTACTCCTAAAATGCATTCAGATCTAACCCTTCCCATGTATACTCACTGACACTGCCTTTCCTTAGATTCTCATCCTCTTCTGCCTGGACTGTTGCAATCATCTACTTACTGCTCTCGCCAGCCTTTCTTCCTTCTAATCCTACCATACTATCAAGCACACAGATATAACCTATTACTCTACTCTCCGTGTACCATCATAGCCTTTCAAAGCCTCTCTTCTGGGCATGCTATTCCCTTTGCCTGTAACTCCTATTCCACATTCTCTGCCTAAAAAATACTCATTGGCCCTTCAGGGGCATCTTATATGCCACTTTCTCTGCGAGGACTTCTAAATACCCCTAGAGTCAAGCTTTTTCCAACATGTTGATACTCATTCAGTTACCTTCATTTTTAGACTCTTTTTGAGTCTTTCAGTTTACATTTGAAGTTTCTTTATATGCACTTAGAAAAAAAGTCCAGAAAGACAGTTACCAAAATGTTCATAAGGGTTGTCTCTAAGTTGTTGGATGATGAGCAACTTTTCATAGCATATCTCTTTGCTATGACTGTAACTGTTATACCAATTGTTTTCCAATAATTCACACTGTTATTGGTATTAACTGTACCATAACAAATCATAAGTTGTCATGTCCATTTTATTTCCACTCCAAACTGATAACAACAGATGGTAATACCTTCCTCTAGAATAAGCACTTTCCTCCCTCCATTTGAATTCAACTTGATAAACATGAATCAAACACTTGTGATATACAAGATACTGTGGGAGATTTTAAAATAGCTAGGACACATTTCCCTTACTCAACAAACTTATAAATCTAGTAGAGAAACACAAATACACAAGCATAATGTAATGGAGAAAGAAATAAGTCCTGTAAATTTACAAACTTGGGAGGGGAGAGAGTAGATGGTAGGAGTGGAGAAACAACTGAGGAATCCCTATAGGTTCCAGGAAGGTGACTGCTTTTGCACTGGGTATGGAGAGATGAATAGCCTTTCAACAGGTAAGCAGTGTGGCATTTCGATTAGATGAAAATGCAACAGCAAAGACTCTAAGGAGGAAAAGCATAAAGTTATATATTTGGGGGAACACAAACAGCTCTGTTCCCTAGAATTTGGGGGCATGAGTAAGGATGGGAAGATCAGTTAGAACAATACTAAGGACCTGAATGTTGGGGTAAAGAATTTTCATTTAATTCCATAGGAAATGGGGAATCACCAAGTCTTTTGGTGCAGGAAAGTAAAATGATCACTTCAGCTCTAATCATATTGTTCTCTACATAAAATACAATCCTTCAGCTGGCTTTCCACTGAGCCTCTCTTGGAGGCTCTCTCTTTGGTCCCAATTTGAATGTAGTCTTGGCAGACTAAATGAAATTCTTTTTCCAGTACCAAAAACTCTTAAGACCTATTTAAAGCAAAATCAGAGGCCTTTAAAAGTCCTCAAAAAGACAAAAGCAAACAGAAAAAGAGATACCATCACAAAAATCTAAAACTTTATTCAATGTGTTTTTGCATATAAAATTTTGTGAAACTATTGCAAAAAAAAGGATTTATACTTCCTGATTCCTTTTAAGATTACAATTACGAAAACAATGAATCGTGGAACACTACATCAAAAACTAATGATGTATTGTACGGTGACCAACATAATAAAATTAAATTAAAAAAAAAAGATTACAATTCCTTTTAAGATTATAAAATGCAGTTGATTTCTATTTCAAAGCTGGTAGTGGCAAAAGAAAAAATAATTAGAGCCATTTCCTGGCCTTGACATGAATTAATACTAGAGATCATTTCCTAGAGGAAACTTGGATCTGGCCAGCCCAAAAAAAGCAGGTTCTTTCTATCAAAGGACCCCAGTGGAGGGTAAGCTCTCTTTGTCAAGATCGGTCTGTCCTAAAGAGAAAGGTCCTTCTGGGTCATTTTGCCTAAGGGATCTAAAGGACGGCCCTGCTGGGGTGAAGAGGCAGAGTTGTAGTCTAGAGATCACAGACCACAGTTGGGGCTATTAGTCAGAAAACACACTGTATGCACAAAGCTATCATATTTTACTCTTGCCTTCCTAGCTAAATTGCATCCTCTCCAGTCTTTTTCCTTTTGTAGTTCCCAATGAACAGAGCATTAAGAGTATGCAAGCATTTCATGTTTGTTAAGTTGAATCTTTTAGAAGGGTGAAACCCTCCAAAATGCAAGTGGTTACTTTTACAAGAATTAAATAATAACGATTATTATTGTTATAACTGGGATCAAAAATGCACAGTTGACAACAGCAAATACCATGGATCCAAGAAAGCTTAAATAATTTCATTTCCTCAAGTTCAGGAAAAATGCCTTTGCAAAGAGTGAAGCAAAAGCACAGTGAAATTAACTAACCTGGCCAAAGCTGTACAGTCTGTTACAATGCTGGGACCTGTTTAAGAGGCCGAATCCTTGGGGCGCCTGGGTGGCTCAGTTGGTTAAGCGACTGCCTTCGGCTCAGGTCATGATCCTGGAGTCCCTGGATCGAGTCCCGCATCGGGCTCCCTGCTCGGCAGGGAGTCTGCTTCTCCCTCTGACCCTCCCCCCTCTCATGTGCTCTCTCTCTCTCATTCTCTCTGCCTCAGATAAATAAATAAAATCTTTAAAAAAAAAAAGAGGCCGAATCCTGGTGCAGAGATTTGGTTTTCCTCTATTCTGTGTTGTCTGTCTTATATACAGTAAAGCTTTATTAATCCCAGCTAATTAGAAAGTTAACCTGAAATACTAACAAGTCTAAATCACAAACTATTTTAAAAGATAACGACTCTAAAGCTATCTTAAGTACACACAGCAAGCCATAGAAAATGTCTGATCCAGTATGATGTACTAAAGAAAAAAACTCAATTGTAATTATCCATTTGAGTACCCAGTGGGCCTTCCCAAAATGCTTTCTTACATACATTAAATATACCACTTATAACCTTTTCCAGTAATTCGCTTGGTAAATAAGTAATGAAAAAAATTCGGGCAAGATTTGGCAAGATTAGAAATCTAATTAGAGTTAAACTACGTAATCTAACATTGAAGACCTACCTTGTATCTAGCACTATGTTGCTTAAGGCATTAAAAAGAATAGAGGGAAATCAAATACAAGCTTTAAGGAAACCTAGTTGAGGATATAAGATGTACAAAACTCAAATGTCAAATAACAACACATAAGTCAAAATGACAACATACGTATCAAATTTCCACAAGTAGTATTCTATACTAGGTATTTCCCCTCACTCGCCTTTTTTCCCAACTGTTCCCTTAATCTTTCCACACAACTCTATTGTCCCATTCATGAGTTACTCTCTCCAGCTCCCATCTGGACACTAGGTTCTTCACTACTCGTCCACTACACGGTCAGCGACTATTACTGCTCTCACAGCTCACCAACACAGGTTTTCAGACCCATGTCACCTGGGCTAATGACTGATTTTGAGCCAGCTGTCCATCAAAACCGTGATCTACTTACATGTTCCAGATCTGTCTTCAGTACCAATGGCTCATCTCTCTTTTTCTGGTCGTCCATTTTCCTTTTCCCTGTTTCCGTATCCTCCGATAACAGCTTGTGGATTTGATCTTCAGAGGTTTTCTCCTCTTGTAACTTTTCCTCTCTCAGCTAAAAATACAAATCACACCGAGAAGGAGAGTTTTCGGCAGACTTCAAAACATCTTTTACTCAGTAGTCTATCAGAATGAACAGATTATATGGCAGTTTGAGACTATTTTTCTTACTAGATATAAAGCCCTCTTAATTTTTAAGTAAGTCTGCTTTCACGTGCTTGACTCTTGCTGAACATATACTACAGCAGGGCTTTAGATTTAAATGCTCTGCATTCTTGGGTGCCTGGGTGGCTCAGTTGGTTAAGCGACTGCCTTCGGCTCAGGTCATGATCCTGGAGTCCCGGGATCGAGTCCCGCATCGGGCTCCCTGCTCGGCAGGGAGTCTGCTTCTCCCTCTGACCCTCCCCCCTCTCATGCTCTCTGTCTCTCATTCTCTCTCTCTCAAATAAATAAAATCTTAAAAAAATAAAAAAATAAATGCTCTGCATTCTTGAACAATATGAAGTGATAAAAGCTAAGATAACACACATAATCAAAAAATAAGATTTATTCACTTAGCCAAAGAAGGTTGAACCTAAAAACGTTCCTTATTCCCATAAACCAGATATAACTGTATTAAGTGAGGAGAAGAGCCGAGAGGTAGGCCACAGAAGGCCAGAGAAGCTGGGCGAGGCAAGACAGGTCTCCAGTCCTAGAGGCAACAGAAAAAATTATCACAGTTCCAATGTTCTGCAGTTTATGCTATTATCTTGTGGCCCAGAGGGTAGGTCAAAATACATGGTTTACAAAGAAATATAAGGCAGAGGCCTATGCTCCTAAATTGGGGGAGGCAGCAGGGCAGTATGAAAATAAGATGAACTTTGGAATAAAAACCTGGGTTCTGAGGGTTCTGTCACTTAGTTAACAGCTATATGATCTTGGGCAGATGAAGCATCAGAAAGGATCATATGCTCACCTACAAAATAGGGATAATGCTACTTACTTTGCAGATAGTTTTAAGAAATAAATGAGATAATAATATGAAGTACTTAATGTGGTGTCTTGCTGTGTACTTATAGTACATTAAGAGTTCCTTTCTTAATCTCCTTTTATTCTCTTTTCACTGCCTGGGGTTTTAATAAAACTTAAATGCCGTAATGTATATCAAAGCAATTACAGGCTACTAATATTTTTAATCATATTTGCAAAAAAAAAAAAAGCCAAAGAACAAATATTTTTCATTGGCTGTTGCCTCAGGGATAAAAAGCAAAAACAATAACAATAAACAACAATTAAGATTTAGACTTATCTTTCCAATTTCTATAGATTTGATTCCTACAGGCCTAAATTAGTCTTTAATACACTGAGTCTAATTCGAGAGGTTACGAATATACAAAGAACACCATACACAATGTTATGTCAGGAAGAGGCTCAAATGAAACAATGTACTCCAAACTCGGCCCAAGTCAAACAAGAACACAAAAGGAAAAAAAGCAAATCCATAGCCAGGGAGAAAGCAAACCTAAAATCTATGCTAACTGCCCATGTGAAAGCTCAATGACTTTTGATGATATTAGATGAGAAATTCTTATTTTTTTTTTTTAAGATTTTATTTATTTATTTGAGAGCGAGAGAATGAGAGACAGCATGAGAGGGAGGAGGGTCAGAGGGAGAAGCAGACTCCCTGCCGAGCAGGGAGCCCGATGCGGGACTCGATCCAGGGACTCCAGGATCATGACCTGAGCCGAAGACAGTCGCTTAACCAACTGAGCCACCCAGGCGCCCTAGATGAGAAATTCTTGTTCAACAAATTGACCACAGGCTACACAAAGGGGCATTTCTTTTCAGAGCATAGAGAGGCAGAGTGGCAAAAAAGAGAACAAGTTTTAGCATCATAAGAATTGCTATCATTTGGGGCGCCTGGGTGGCTCAGTCGTTAAGCGTCTGCCTTTGGCTCAGGTCATGATCCCAGGGTCCTGGGATCAAGCCCTGCATCAGGCTCCCTGCTCCGCGGGAAGCCTGCTTCTCCCTCCCCCACTCCCCCTGCTTATGTTCCCTCTCTCGCTGGTCTCTATCAAATAAATAAATAAAATCTTTAAAAAAAAAAAAAGAATTGCTATCATTTATCGAAGTCCTTGGTGTCAGGTGCTGAGCTAAGCACTATATATACATTACCTCATGTGAGAAAACTAAGTTCTAGGAGTTAGGTAATGTGTTCAAATTCACAGAGCCGTAGTCCTGGAGCTAGAATTCGAATCTAGGCTTATCTCAGTGGTTCTCATCCGAAGATGATTTTACATCCCCGGGTACATCTAACAATGCCTGGACACACTATTAAATTTCCTATTGTATATATTTTAGTGTTTTGTTTGGTGCTTAATGGTGTTTACATACTATGTCCTCTGGTTTTTCCAGTGTTTTAAAGTGTATCCTTCTGCTTCCTAATAATACTTATTGTTGCTCTCAAAATTTTTGACAATGAACTCTGACAACAACTACTTTTCCGGGCGCCTGGGTGGCTCAGTCGGTTGAGCGACTGCCTTCGGCTCAGGTCATGATCCCGGAGTCCTGGGATCGAGTCCCGCATCGGGCTTCCAGCTCAGCAGGAAGTCTGCTTCTCCCTCTGACCCTCTCCCCTCTCATGTTGTTTCTCTCTTTTTCTCTCTCAAATAAATAAATAAATAAAATCTTTATTAAAAAAAAAAAACCGATGTTGCTTCCAAACATCCTGCTCACCGGTACACCAGGGGTTGGAAAAACCACACTAGGCAAAGAACTTGCATCAAGATCAGGACTGAAATACATTAATGTGGGTGATTTAGCTCGAGAAGTCTGATCAACGGATATCATGGAGTCTGGCAAGATGGCTTCTCCCAAGAGCAGCCGAAAGATGCACAGATGATGGCACAAATCCTGAAGGATATGGGGATTACAGAACATGAGCCAAGAGTTATAAATCAGATGTTGGAGTTTGCCTTCCGATATGTGACCACAATTCTAGATGATGCAAAAATTTATTCAAGCCATGCTAAGAAAGCCACTGTTGATGCAGATGATGTGCGATTGGCCATCCAGTGTCGTGCTGATCAGTCTTTTACCTCTCCTCCCCCAAGAGACTTTTTATTAGATATTGCAAGGCAGGGCGCCTGGGTGGCTCAGTTGGTTAAGCGACTGCCTTCGGCTCAGGTCATGATCCTGGAGTCCCGGGATCGAGTCCCGCATCGGGCTCCCTGCTCAGCAGGGGGTCTGCTTCTCCCTCTGCCCTCTTCCCTCTCGTGCTCTCTGTCTCTCATTCTCTCTCTCTCAAATAAATAAATAAAATCTTTAAAAAAAAAAAAAAAAAAGATATTGCAAGGCAAAGAAATCAAACTCCTTTGCCATTAATCAAGCCATATTCAGGCCCCAGGTTGCCACCTGATAGATACTGCCTGACTGCTCCAAACTATAGACTTAAGTCTTTACAAAAAAAGGCATCTACTTCTGCGGGAAGAAGAACAGTTCCACGGTTAAGTGTTGGTTCAGTTACTAGCAGACCAAGTACTCCCACACTTGGCACACCAACCCCACAAACCATGTCTGTGTCAACTAAAGTAGGGACTCCAATGTCCCTCACAGGGCAAAGGTTTACAGTACAGATGCCCACTTCACAGTCCCCAACTGTAAAAGCATCGATTCCTGCAACCCGCAGTTCAGAATGTTCTGATTAATCCATCATTAATTGGGTCTAAAAACATTCTTATTACCACTAACATGGTGTCATCACAAAATACTGCCAATGAATCATCAAATGCATTGAAAAGAAAATGAGAAGATGATGATGATGATGACGATGATGATGATGATGACTATGATAATTTGTAATCTAGCCTTGATGCTTGTAACATGTATACTTGGTCTTGAAACCATTGTACTGAGATTAAACATGGATGCTGGGTATTTTCAAGTTGTGTTGTAGAAAACTTAAATGGCATTTAATGAGTAAATATGGTTATCCTTTCCGCTTGAGATGTTGGGTTTTCTTCAATAGGATTAGTAATGGTTATTCATCATCCTTTAAGTGTAAAAATAAAAATGTTCATCAATTTGAAAAAAAAAAACCACTTTTCCATTGCAATGTTGAGTCTCTAACCCACTGTCATCTTGATACAGCTAAAAATTTATAAAATTGAAAAACCCACATATGCATTTAAATCTTCACATGAATCATGTTTCTTTCTTCTCTATACTGGGTTCTATAGAAGTTATTTTCTTTTCCCTTTTGAGAGTTTTTAATTTTTATTTATTTTATTTTATTTTATTATTTTTTTTAAAGATTTTATTTATTTGAGAGAGAGAGAATGAGAGACAGAGAGCATGAGAGGGAGGAGGGTCAGAGGGAGAAGCAGACTCCCTGCCGAGTAGGGAGCCCGATGCGGGACTCGATCCTGGGACTCCAGGATCATGGCCTGAGCCGAAGGCAGTCGCTTAACCAACTGAGCCACCTAGGCGCCCTTGATAGTTTTTTATAAGGACTTGAGAACTTGGTCTCTAGGAAAGAGTTTTCATATTCAGGGAAAATACCTCAGGGCGTGTCAGAAAATAGCATATACACTTGAAAAAGAAATATCAATAGCTGCTCTGTACTGAACTCTTCTTTGTTCCTGGCATTAAGTTTATAGAGCTATCCTCATTTAAACATTAAGGACTCTGTATGTATCCATCATTATCATTCTGTAGACACAAAAATTAACACTCAGCGGTTAAAAGTCACAGAGATTGAATACTGAAGAGCTTGAATTTTAAAGCAAACCACTGTCTTCACATACCAGGGTTTCTCAACCTCAGTACTTTTGGGCCACATAATTCTTTGTTATGGGGAGCTGAACAGAGTAACATAACAAGGAAAGAAAGCCAATAAAAGTGGTGTGACAGTTGGTCCAGTAATTGGCTACAGAAGACAATATGAGAAATTGCATGAAATGCATCTCAAGACTGCCAGTCTGAAGTGAGGGAAAAAAGGGAAGCATATATCTACTGACTCCTACCTCCCATGGACCAAAGTTTGCTCTGCAGGGTGTTAAATACCCCTCATACTGG